AGCACAGACTTTTAATAGACATTTCTTGTGCACAATCACTGTAAAGAGAAATCCGATGTGATGCAGATAAGGGAAGTTTATCTAAAACCTGTTCACTGTTTCATCATTCTATGCTTTGTATGTCAAACTTGCTGATTCGACACCGTTTAGTTTTACAATGGCTTGGCAATGCAAACTTTGTCCTGCTGTGTGTGACAAAAGGGCACAGTTGCTTGAACACTGTCGTTTGCATCACAGCAATTTATCCTCAATCAACCCATTGCCTTGTCTCTTTGATGACTGTATCTGCACATTTCAGTCAATAAATGCATTCAAAATTCATTTAACAAGGTTGCATAATAATACAGTTGTACCCAGTGAAAACGAGGTGGGATGTTTGTCATTCACATGTCCTTTGTGGATTCAAGCAACCATTTAATGATAAGAGTCTCCTCAGTCATTTAAGGGCACATTTAAAACACCATGAAATGGTGGACTGTCCTTTCAAAAACTGTCAAGACCGCACTAATGTCTACTCCTCCTTTAATGCCCACAAAAGTAGGACTCATCCAGACAGTGATGTTTCAAATTATAAGAATGAGATTGTCTGTACAGAAACTGAAAGTCAACCAATGCAGAGTCAGGATGAATCTGATAGGGATAGCCCTTTACCACACTCTCCTGAGCTGGATACTCCTGAGTGTGAGCCCTCTGGATCCAGAGATGACACTGATGACTTGGAAGGGCACTTCAAAAATAATTTGGCTTCTTTCTTCTTGAAAATGAACAGTGTTCTTCATGTGTCAGAGACAGCTACACAGGACATCATTGAAAATTTGGCACAAATATTCACTTTGTCCAAACCTGTTGTGAGAGAAGCTGTTGTCAATAGTTTACAAGAGCATGATCTGTCTGTCAGTGGGGCCCTTCTTCATGACCTAGAGGAGGCTATCATGAAAACTAATGTTTTTGTCAATGCTACTTCAGAAGGTGCGGAACTGTCCACTGCTAAGCGGAGGGAAACATTTGTGAGGAGTAACTATCCTTTGGTAATGCCAGTGCAATACACTTTTGATTCCAGTGAAAACACAGCAGTGTATGTTCCCATTCTTCAGATGATTCAAACAATGTTTAAAACTACTGATCTTCTTGAAAAAATTCACGAGGCAAAACCGTCTCCACCAGGAATTTACATGTCTCATGAAGATGGAACATATTTCAAAGAAAATCAGTTATTGTCTGAAACAGGGGAGCTGAAACTGTCCCTGATTTTGTTGCTGTACTGCAGACCAGAAACAGTGCACTGACGTTTCTGAAGGGGAGTTTAGCATGAGAACAAGGGCCTCCCATGATCTTCATGTGCAGAATGTTGTGGAAGAAGACAAAGCAAATCACTTAGGTGTTAAAGGTCAGTGTGCTCTCAGCATGGCATTGCAGCATTTTCATCCCATCACTGGTTTTCCACCTGATATTCTTCACGACCTCTTTGAGGGTGTCGTGCCAGTTGAGATGGCCTTGTGCATCCGTGAGATGATTTGCCTGAAGTATTTCACACTTGAATATCTAAACACAAGAATTCACACATTTCCATATCAGCACACTGATAGGCTTGATAAACCGCAACAAATTCCAAAGAATTTTGCTGCCAAACGGGCATGAAAATTCCACTTTGCTTAGGTTATTACCACTACTGGTAGGAAGTAAAGTCCCTGAAGGAGATGAAACATGGGCCATATTGTTGGACCTCAAAGAAATAGTGCAGCTGGTGTTGTCTCCATCTTTCACAGAGGAGTCTTTACAGTACATGCAGACTAAAATCAGTGATCATCGACAGGGACTTCAAGCAGTGTTTCCAGACTTTAAGCTCAGACCCAAGCATCATTATGTTGAGCACTACCCAGAAATGACAAGGCGCTTGGGGGCCTCTTGTTCACCTTTGGACAATGAGGTTCGAGGGAAAACATCGCTTTTTTAAAAGAGTGATACAGGACACACACAATTTCAAGACTGTCTTGAGAACTCTTGCCACTAGGCATCAGCACATGATGGCGTATCACTGAAGTGCACCATTATTTTTCAAACCCCACACACAATCTTCGAGTGTCACCTCTGTCCACGTTGCCACACTGCCTCAAGTGGCAAAAGACTTTATAAGAACAAAGACAGACAGCCAAAACATATACAGTACAACACAGGTGTCCATTGATGGCACAGAGTATGCTAATGGTATGTATGTTTCTGCAGGCCAGGCTGGAGACTGACCAAACACTGCTTGTGAATAACTCTGTTTCTTTTCTTTGCAGAAACTACGAGAGCTGGTACAGAGAGCATTTGAGGTGATTTGAGCTGACATCCTCAGACACCTGCTCTGTCATCGAGCTGTCAGAACTAAATGACACAGTAAGTTTGTCTGCATACAACATAGATGGACACTTAATACTGACACAAAAAAGATTTATTTTGATCAGAGAAATCCAGGTGTAAAATGTTATCAGAAGTGAAGAACCATATGGCCTCATGGAACAGTGTGTAGCAAAGTAAGACAGGTAAACTAAAATTTGATATGCCAGTTACGTTTACTAACATTACAAGCCTAGAAAGACTTACCTGCTACAACTGTAATTTTTTCAAACCCAGCTTTTAGGTGAATAATATCTGTCTATAACTGTTTCACACAAATACCTATTGTGTATGCATTGTTGAATGCTATTAGTTAATCGTTCTCTCCCCTCTTTGTTTTAATAGGTAATCTTCACATACATACTTCCATGGACATTGTCAGGAAGATGACTTTGGCTTCATGTCCAGAATCTGTGAATGAGCTTGAAAAAATGATAAAAGAAAAGTTTAAGATAGACTTTGATTTTTGCTAATCATATGAAGATCCAGACTTTGACGGGCAGTTATGTTCCCTTATAGACATTGAAGAGCTTCCACAGAAGGCAGTACTTAAACTTGTAAGATCTCAGAGTGATGCCAGTTCAATTGCATCTGATGACACAATAATATTGCCTCATGCAATGACTCCAGAAAGGACCCAGAGATGGCCGGATGTTTGTCCAGTGCCAGCTTTTTCTTATGAAGTAGAACTCATACTTGTTGAGGGAAATTTGAATCATGAGAGAACAGGGAAAACCCTGAAGTTATCAAGGGGACAGAAGCATGACATTCTTGAAACCCTTGCATCCAAAATGCATAGCTTTAAAGCATATCCCAGTGATAAAGACATTTCAGTGGTTGCAGAAGCGCTTGTCACCACCCATCCTTGTCTTAAAGAACCAGGAACGCAGACAGGATGGTATGGTTGGAAAAATAGTCTGAAGTTTAAGATGGGTAACTTCTGCACTAAGTTGAGTCGGGCAGGATATAGTGAGGTAGCTGTAAATTCTGGAAAGAGAAGCAGAAACAACCCTGACAAACAATCTCCCCACACTGACATAAAGAGACCAAAAAGGGCAGAAGTGAATTTTCTCCCCAACTTTCCAAAAGGAGAAGATGGTTCAAGCCTTGAGCGACAGAGACTCCAGATTGTAGATGAAGTTATAAGGACTGACAAAAACCTCCCTCTGATTGCAAAGTTGATGCAGACCACCTTTTCCCTGCGACGCAAAGAGGTCATCAATGATGACTTGCCTGTTGGAGAGATCCTGGAGCGCTGGCCTGCCCTAAAGATGGAGTCACAGGTGAGTTTTTTTTTCTTTGTATGTGATAGGGAAGTGTAGGGATCTCAACATCAGTCACTTAGTCTGACAAGCATTTAACAAATGTAAAGTTTTGACATTTATAATGCGACAGTACATAATGTTTAAACACGTTTTGTAATGTAATGTTTTACAACTTCATTTTCCTTTTTCTTTTGAGATACAAATGCACTTCAATGTCACATTTTTATTTTACAGATTTGTGCAGAGTTTCACAGAATCACAAACATCAACCTGAAGAACCACTTCTATTCTGAGTTAGACAGACATGTCCCTCGTCTTCAGAGTTTGTTCAGGAAGAAAGCTGCGCGCACAGGGAAGGTGTCTGAAGTCCTGGATCAGCTCTTCAACACTTATGACCGCCAGGTGAGTTGATTATCCTTCTTCATGCATGATAATAATAGAACCCTGTTGGAACTCCCTATCTTCAGATTACATTAGGGCCAAATGATGATGCCATCGTTGATAGCTGACAGTCTTCTATCGTGAAAGACTGTTTGGAAAAAACACGACCAACAATAGAAACAATAAATGTCATCAAGTGTTCCTCTTTTGATATTGTCATTTGACAGTTTGGTAGGCATTACCTAATCGTATTCAAATACATCATATAGGGCTATTTCTTGTGATAAATTCTGTTCCTTCCCTGTTTGGCATTTCAAATTAAGATGATGTGTTTTCTCATACTTAAGGAACAAGTTGACGTCAATGTCCTCCGTGCTGCCGTCCTCCGTGCTCTCCCTACATATCTGCATGAGGATGACTCCGGATTTCTGAAGCTGTGGGATGTAAGTCAGCATATTATTAAGACTTGTAATGAATCTGTTGAACATGTTATATATTTCATCTGTTTTATTCAGATGCTGTCATTTTGGTGTATGATTGCCATGATATTAAAAAGTGAAAAAGATTAATATAGTAATAATTGTCCTGCAACATCTACAGTAGGCTTAATCTTACCTGTGAGGAATTAGTAATTAAACTTTGCATTTACTGGTCAAACCTCAATTCATGCTGCAGTTTTTAAAATTCCATTTAAAACCTGCAGAGCTGGAATAGTATGCTAAACAATATCAACATCTATAGTGAGAATAAATGCAATATAGTGATTGTTTAAAAAAGCTTGTCAGTTGAGTCATTGTCTTTCAGTACCATTTAGCTTTGATTGTTTTGAGGCCAAAAAAACAAAAAGGGGATAATTACTACATTTAAAGTGGTGAATTAAGAAATCCCTGAATAGCAATAGGGTAGTGTACTTTCCATATTTTTCCGCTGATCAAGAAACATAAACAGCTTTTGGTACATTGTCATTCTATGGGAAACACTGAAGCTTAGGCAGTTGATTTGTAACATTTCTCTGTCCTTGTCTTTAGCAGGCCCTGTCAGATGAACTGCAAATCGACAACATACCAGTTGGGCTCCTCCTGATCAGTGCCACTTCAACAGATGCTGCGGTATTCTGCCCGAGAAGGTTGCCGTTGTGCTTGAGGGTAACACAGTTGTCGATTTCCCAACATTTTCTGATGCATTTGTCATGCTTTTTGCACTTATTTATGGGCTACATCTAAGTTACCCGAAAGACTTGGCCAATACATTTGACTTCATCCAAAAAGTCTTGATGGGCCTTGAGGATGGCAAGTTGAAGCCTAGAGTATTGAGCCTTAAAAACGACCTTTTGTCAACTGAATGATCTCACACACACACACACACACACACACACACACACACACACACACCACACACACACACACACACACACACACACACAACAAATGTAATACTTCACTGAAGAATTTCTGTTTGCGCACATGGACTTGTGTAATTTTGGCATTGCAAAGAGCAGTAAAAAAGTTAGGGCCCTAAGTTCGGGGTTTTTACTTCAAAAAGATGTGTTTTGAAAAAATGCCTGTTGAACTCAAAGTTGTAATGGGTTTCTGTTGGAAATGCCTGGGTTTTTCTAGTGTTGATGTACAGAACTATAGGGTAAACCTTTTGTCATTTTGCTGAAGTTGGCATTTCTTTAGTATATCTGTGTATTAAGTTGTCAACTATTCTTAAAAGTTACTGTGTTTCTGAACTATTTTACAATAGTTGTTGCTGTGTCTTTCTGATACAAAATTGGACTTTCTCTGGTTGAAGTTTGATATTTGTTTATTTTGCTCCTGTGTTGTGTCATGAGGACAGGTCTGGAGATACAATGTTTACTCAGATATATGTCATTTGAATGTTTTGTCATGCTGCTGTTTTGAAAGCCTATGAGTTGGTTCCTGAGGCATATAGGCAAAGATTTAGAAGCTGGAGGAAAGGTGATGTACAGACTCACGTAGAGTTTGCACGGGATATTTCAGCTTACTTTGCACGCTGGTGTCCTGCCTCGGAGGTAGATCATTATGATGATTTGTGTAACCTTATGGTATTGGAACAATTTAAGGACTCTGTTCCACACCACATTGCTGTACACATCAATGAGCGTAAGGTTAAGACAGCTTCAGCAGTGCAGTGTTGGCAGATGAGTATGTGTTGACTCATGCTGGTGGCTCAGAATGGCGCTGGGGCGTAAAGGACAATGTGAAGTTTAGTCCAGGAAAGTTTGTTGGGGCTACTCAGGGTTCTCAGGCCAGTTTCAGAAGTGTACCAGGTACGGATGGTAGATTTGATCCAGGTAAACTGTGCCATTCATGTAAAAATAAGGGTCATTGGAAAGGGGAGTGTCCAATTTCCATGTCGAACAAAAGTCAACCGATCCAAGTGTGTATATGAAATCTGCTGGTCTGGTGGCTTCACTGTCATCAGTGCAGAGTCTAATGGTGCCAGGAACATCTCCTGAACTGTCATCAAAGGGGGTTGATGAAATGTATGCCCCTTTCATGTCACATGGGTTTGTGTCTCTGAATGATGGTGAGATGAAACCTGTAAGTATTTTGAGGGATTCAGGGGCGTCCCAGAGTTTCATTTTGGAACGTGTGTTGCCGTTTTCTTCTGCTACAGACACTAGGGAGACGACTCCCGTTCGGGGAATTTCTTTGGTTCCTTTGTTTGTGTCATTGCATCGTCTTAGCCTGTGTTCAGATCTGGTAAAAGGGGAAGTGGTCATGGGGGTACGGAACTCATTGCCATTGGAGGGTGTGGATGTTATATTGGGTAATGACTTGGCGGGGGCAAGAGTGTGGAAAGATGATCCACCTTCTGTTGGGGTAACAGCATCACCCGAGTGCTCTCAAGGTCCGGATGAGTGTGCTAAACAACATCCAATGTTTTTCCTGTTTGTGCTGTGACTCGGACAATCAACTTCAAAGAGTTGGGGAGGTTTTTGGATATGGTGGGGTATTATTGGGGTTTTGCCCAAATTTTGCGACTGTGGTGGCCCCATTGACAGACCTTTTGAGTAAGGACGGTTTTTGTGTGGTCTCCTAAATTTGAGGATGCTTTTGTTACGGTGAAATCCTTGCTCTGTTGTTCTCCTATGCTTGCAGCGCCAAACTTTGAGAAGCCCTTTAAACTTCAGGTGGACGCAAGTGGAGTTGGTGCAGGAGCTGTACTGTTGCAAGAAGGGAAGGGGGCTATTGATCATCCAGTCTGCTTCTTCTCCCGTAAGTTCAAACGTCATCAGTTCAGTTATTCAGTTGTGGAGAAGGAGACATTGGCACTTACTTGGGCTCTAAAATTTTTTGAAGTGTATGTAACTTTGGGGTCTGCACCAGTTACTGTATTCACTGACCAAAACCATCTGACCTTTCTGTCCAGCATGCAAAACAGCAATCAAAGGTTGAGGCGCTGGTTGTTGTTTTTACAGCCCTACAACTTTAATATCTGTCACCTCAAGCGTAGGGATAATGTAATGGCAGATGCTCTTTCTCGGGAAGTAGTTTAATGTGTACGTACACCCAAGTGTACGTTCTTTATGGGGGGAGGTGTGACGGCCCTGGCCATGGTGTTTGGCCTGGTACTGCTTGTGTTTTGTATTTCAGGGTTTGGCGTCATCTGGTGGTTGGCGGTGGCATGCCTGCTGGTCGTGGGGAGACTCGCCAGCTGGTCGCGGGGAGACTCGCCCACCTGCCTGCTGATTGCGGATGGGCTTCACCTGGGTGGAAGGGCATACAAACCGGGCTGCCAGAGCTTTCAGGGGGTTCCTCGGGACAGATTGGACTTATCTCCCTCTGCTCTTGCATTTTTTTGGTGGTTCTGAAATAAACTAAAACCTAAGCAAGTTGACTGTGTGGACCTCCATTTTGAATGTTAGGGCCTACACGAGCTGGCCGTAACACTAGGAGGCTGCCACAAAGAGCTTGGTAACGCTGATCATTAGGAGGCTGCCACAAGAAGCTTGGAAAAGTTGATCAAACTGCAAAAGATGACAACACATTAAGTTGTGAGTGCAAGTACCAGAATACCCAGAAATGCAGACAAGTCGAAATTGAATTAGAGCTCTGACCAATGAAAAGAGATAAAATTTGAACATTTAGAATGGACTAGCAATTATTTTACAAACAAATAAGCTTCAATAACTAAGATCAAGTCATGAAATTATTTTAAATTCTGCCATTTTATTAAAATATCAAACACACAGGAACAACATTAACCTTCCTGCATGTATTCACTGACAATCTGTAACCTAGAATGTACATTTACTGCTTAACCGACAGCTTTACTGAAGGAGAGTTAAATATGAATGTCACAGCAAAGGGTCTGAATACTTATGACCATGTGATATTTCAGTTTTTCTTTTTTAATAAATTTGCAAAAATTTCTACATTTCTGTTTTTGTTCTGTCAAGATGGGGTGCTGAGTGCACATTAATGAGAAATAAAATGAACTTTTTTGATTTTAGCAAATGGCTGCAATGAAACAAAGAGTGAAAAATGTAAAGGGGTATGAATACTTTCGTACCCACTGTATATTGGTAAGTATTCATTTTTTTGAGCTGTAGTACTTTAGACTGTACCGCTGGTGTATTCAGTGCTGTTTACCAAAATTCGTGCAATGTTGATGAGGGCGAACTTTACTTTGAAAGTCTGAGTTTGCAGACTAGCTTGGTAACACTTAACATGGCCACTAGCTAGCATAATAGTCCAGACATGAACATAGCAGTCGCAAAACTGCAATTGAGAAAGGCAAAAGAATTGTGAGGCGAATGAACTTGCCCTCACTTATTATTTTACTTAAGATAGGTGTGAGGAGCGTGAGCGGGGAAGATTGTGGCCTGTTGTCTGCCCGGACACCGCGGTGTCTCTCTGCGTTCATACCGACCAGCGGATTACTTTCCCCTGAGAGCTGGACGGTGAACCAAGAATATTTATCTAACTCTTTGTTGTGCGTGTTTAAACCTGTTCAATAGCAGTGTTTCCCTTACCAAAGACCGAACTTCAACCTGCAGACGGTTTCCCACTGATATGGTCCACTCCAGCCAGAAGACGTTATGCTAATGAGTTATGCCCGCGAAGATGGTATCGCACATGCGCAAAGGGCGGCTCCACATTCCAACTCATTTATTTTGTGTCATCAAATCCATCCCATAGGGTAAATTGTTATACATTTTATGTTTCACTGATTAAATATATATGTGTATATTTCAAACTAGATATTTTTAAATAAATCCAACAATACTTAAGTGTGTCACATCTAAGAAGGGCTTGAATCAGTTTTATGAGTGTTGTTAGTTTGGTTATTGGTTTTTGTTTTTGCTGTTATTTCTATGTGCAAATATTTGTAGGTTTGTTTTTTTGTCCACTTTATCACCAATAAAAAAATTTATGTAAAAAAAAATCTTATTACCCATAATCCTCTGCTTGTAAAGAGTGTGTATTGTTTAAGTGCGTTTACAATGAGGTTTATAATCCAAAACAAATATGAGGGCTGATTGATTTTTAAGGTCTTTATCATGTCTGAGCTGCTTCAGTGAAGTGTGTCAGTCTCTGCAGAAACTTCCAGCTGCAGCAGTCAGTTCAGTTTCTGTTCAGTCTGACTGAGGGAGGTTTTTGTACGACGCTTTTTCACTGTGTGAACACATCCTGACTGTTGATATAGTGATAACTCTGACAGTAGTAAACTGCTGCATCTTCAGTCTGGACTCCACTGATGGTCAGAGTGAAGGCAGAGTTTGATCCACTGCCTGAAAAACGATCTGGAATCCCTGATGCTCGAGTGCTAGCAACGTAAATGAGGAGTTTAGGAGTTCCTCCATCTTTCTGTTGGTACCAGGCTAAGTAGTGGTATGGGCTGCTATAAAAAACATTCTGACTGGTTCTACATGAGATGGAGACGGAGGCTCCCAGAGCAGAGCTCACTGCTGCAGGCTGAGTCACTGTGACCTGTCCTCTGGACTCTGAGGATACAGAGACAAAAACAGAAAGCAGCATCAGGGTTTAGTGGGCTTCATTTCAGAGGGACGGATGTTCATAGAGGAGAGGAGTTTGATTCTCTGGACTTTACCTGTGAAGCAGCAGCAGAGGAGGAGAGTCCAGATGAGGACGCACATCAAAGTCATGTTTTTGATGATGAGGACGAGGATTTCTGTTGTGATGAAGGACAGCTGTCAGTCATCCAGTGTTCAACTGTCAGGACTATAAAGTCTCCCAGAGCACTGGAGCATGGTGCTGCTGATGCAAAGTGGCTCTCTATGGAAATGTTCTGACTGACTCCAACAGGGATCACTCTCATTACTCTGTTTATCAATCAATCAATTAATTATACAATTCATTAGAAAACTTTCAAAACAACTTTAATATGATTTCATGTTCATGCTTCTAGAAACATTTATCCTGATATAAATCAGGAGTTGTAATTAATAATATTCTTGAGAAAATGATTTAAAAATAATTCAAAGATTTAAATATCTCAAAGAAAGACATTCTTTAATCTGTTATAATCTTTTTAGATTCTGTTTTCATTTGGTCTCAGAGGTCTTGCAGGCAGAGACTCATTGAGGTGTCTGTGTTTGTGTCAGAGTCAGAGAGCCGTGTGTCTCTACAGCGAGAGGTTTTTGTACGACGACTCCATCAGTTTGTATCACTGTGGCTCACGTTCGGTGGAGGAACCAGACTGGATATTGGAAGTAAGTCACATATTCAGCTTTTATTCAATCAGTAAGTTATTCTGGTGTCTTTTGTCTTCATATTCAAGCCTGGAGGAAAAGAAAATACTGACCTTTAACTTTTCAATCGTTTGTTTTAGAAAGAATAAAGACAACATTTGACTTTAAAGGATTTCAGTTTAAAACAGAAACACAGACTGAATTTAAATGAAGGTAAAATGTTTGAAGCCAGAGTTTTTATTTGTTGGGAAATAGATGATTTTCACTCTCATGGTAAGGTGACATGTGGAGTTGTGGTAGTTTGAGTTCAGTGTGTTAAAGTCAGAGAGCCGTGTGTCTCTACAGTGAGAGGTTTTTGTACGGCCGCTCAATGACTTTGTACCACTGTGGTGGACTTTTGGTGGAGGAACCAGACTGGATGTTGGAAGTAAGTTTCTGTATGAATATTAAACCTAATGTTAAAATACAGATTTTTATATTTGATCCACATAAATCACACTTTGACAACCTCAAAGACAGCTGCTAAATAATGTTCTATTCACAAGGTTTTTCTAACAATCGATATGGACGCCTTAATGACTGAAACAACTGAATGAAAATCATCAAATCAGCTTTTTTACTGAAAATGTTAATGACCAGGATTTTAACATGTCTCATGGTTTATGTTTATCAAAAGAAAAGAGAGGAAAACATCTAAATGAATGTGTTTTAGCTCAAAGAAATATTGAAAATCTGTTAAATAAAGCGTGATATCATAGAAACTAAACTACAAAATATGTTTTATTAGGATAAAATGTACGTGTGTGTGTAAAGATAGATAAAAGATACATCCTACAGATGGGCTAGAACTCATCATCAGTGATGTTTTCTGGGTTCATGGGGGGTTTCGGGTCTTGTAACATCAAACACCCTTGTGTATTTATTGAAAGAATTAAAATAGATGATCTTCTTAATGTGCAGAATATTTAGAGTTTATAGTTTAAATTAATTGATTTTAAACTATGTTGTGTTTCATGGAACTTTGTTTTAGTTTCTCTGCAGCTGTTCAGTCAGATCAGTTCCTCTTCAGCTGACGGAGGTTTTTGTACGACGTTGTATCACTGTGTGAACGGGGAGCTATAACCCTGCTGACAATAATAATCTCCTGAATCTTCAGTCTGGACTCCACTAACAGTCAGAGTGAAGTCAGTTCCAGATCCACTTCCACTAAAACGAGTAGAAACTCCAGACTGACGGCTTGTAGAATAATAAATCAGGAGTTTAGGAGCTTCTCCAGGTTTCTGAAGATACCAGTGGATTAGTACTAACACTTGTGCTGGTTTACATCTGATAGAGACAGTCTGTCCTAGAACAACAGACTGAGATCCAGGAGTCTGAGTCAGGAGGATGTCTCCTGATGAACCTGAAGAAACATGAAAAAAGAGGAGAAGGTTATTGAAACAGACGGAGAAAGATGAACAACATCCAAACAGAATCTTTGCTTTCTTAACTTTAGAGAAACAGTGGAAAAAGGTAAATGCTGCTTCTTTAAGTTTTTCTCCATAACAGTGATTATTGTAGTGAACCTGGCCTCACCCTGAACAAGGAGCCCAAAGGTGACCAGGTGTAGAATCAATGACATCATCATCATCATCGTATGTCAGCGTCTCTGAAAGGCCTCAAACAGCGCTGATCGACACCGGCCTCTTAACGTCCGAGAGCAGAGAGGGAGGACAGATATGCAAACACACAGAGTCAGTCAACTGAAGCGAAATATGTAAATCTACCTCAAGCAAACTATACAAAAAATATGAATTTAAAATTAAAAGAGTTTGTCAAGCTTGATGAGGAATTTCTCTTCAGTGGATGATTTTAAATATTAGAGTTTATAACAATACATAACAATACATGTAATGATCAATGCAGTATGATAAAAGATAAACATAATATTAAAAAACACACGAGGTTATCAATAAAAAACCTTTTAAAAAAAACTGTCTTGTAAGATGTTGTCAGTGTCACTTTTTATAAGAAAATATGTGCATTGTTTATTAGTGATAACCTCAAAATTTAAAAAGAATTATAAAAA